CCCCCCCCGCGCTCTCGAGCCGGGCGTCTGCGATGGGCGTCTCGCTCTTCGTGCCGAAGCACGAACGAGAGAGTCGGGGAACGTAGGACACGCTCGTCCTCGCGACTGAATTCGATTTATCGAAGTCGTTTTCCTTGCGCTATGATGGAAACGAGTGAGGGAGTAAGAGAAAGAGGATGAGTGAGGAAGGAAGATTAGTTTGCAAACATTTTTTTCGTCTCAGTAATTAGTCTAATTAATTCTCCTCGGGGGAGGGGGGTAATTGCCATGGAACGTCACGTGAGACGGTATAAATATGGATACTTGTGGTTAACCACTTTGTTTGCGTCAGTATGGTGGGCAAAGAAAATGGCGAATATGGGTGATGTGATTCGGACAGCCAAACAAAACTGATCTTCTTCGTTGCGTCTCTTTATTTATATTTAAGATTCGACTTATAATCTGAATCTTTTCCGGGGTGTATTTCAAAGCTGTCAGTTGATAGAGATATGTAGTTGAATGTCGACGGTGGACATTTTTGAGAGCTGATTTTAAATCAATATCGATTCACGATTCGCGGCGAATCGCTGAGAAACGTTAGAAACGTTGCCATTCCCTCGGTCGCTTTTAAACAATCGGTACGAGAAATGAAGAGATATGTGTCTAAAATATATATTTGCCCCCATCTGTGTCCCAGCATAATCTATTCCGATGATTAATTCAACTAGCGAAGGAACTGATTATTTGTATGCGATTTTAGGCCCAATTCTGTACAGGCAAATTACGAATATAAGTGCTCTGCATTTTCGGAGCGGCTTTTGATGTTTCGACAGCGAGAATTGAAACCTGGTAAAGCTTCAGCGACAGGATGATGACAAATATCGAGAGCGCAAGTCAACTAGATCTTATATATTCCTTCGTAATCTTTAGCCAATCATAAAAATTTCCCATCGACATTTCAAAAACAGTTTTTCGCTTTGATGAAAGAAATTTCACTCGTCGAGATTTGCAAATGCCTCATTTAGTATCTCGTGTAACGAAAAATGGCACGGTGATATCTGAGAATTGATGAAACTTGCAGGACCGGGAACAATTAGAAATTCAGATCGACAAAGTTATCACTGCTACTTAATAATACTTTTTATATAAAAGTCATATAAGCTTCAATTTTTTAACTTTTATTATTATTATTATGATTACCGTATTACCGTCTCGATCTTCTTTCAAATCCTTCACAGGATTCCCGAGCCATTAATTGCCTAATTGACTTCTTACCCGCTTACCAATTAAAACGCCGAGTGCATTTTGTTGCAGAGAGAGACGCGGGACTCCTGGCAATCGTTTCTCCGCTTATTTCTTCATTCAGTGTAAAAGAAATCTCATTCAGCGCGCCTGAGTGCACTTAAGACGGGTCAGAAAGTCGCGATTAATCATTTCTCGTTCTCGCACTCCGATGCGACTGCAGCTGCCGAGGGGGGGAAAAAAGCTTTCAATTCCGTCGCATTAATTTCTCATGCCCCCTTCCCCGCGCCCCCCTCGTCGCGCTGCGCATCGCGTTCGCAGCTAAACTCGCGCCGGTTATAAATATTTTCGCGGACTTTCCGAAGAGCAGAACGCGCGCTCTCTCTCTCTCTCTCCCCCTCCCTCTCTCGCAATTTCGTAACGATGTTTTCCGCGCGTGACCTCGCTCGCGAGTGCAGCTGCAATTTCAGATACACACGACTCCGCTGTTGTGATCTTCGGAAAATTGCGTGAGATCGCGATCTTCCTTGCGCTCTCCTCCTCGCGAGGAGATCGGGGGGAGGATCCTTTCGAAAAATTTTCGCGAGAATGTAGGACTCTCCATCCCCAAAGATCGCACTTTCTGCCAAACTTGTTACGCCCGGCTGTTTACAGTGAAGGTCATCGCCCATCCCGACAACTCCACCAGCTTCGAGGTGATCGAATCGCAGTTGGAGAATCCGCTGATAGACGCCGATCATCAGGATCTGATTGCCATAAAGCAGCTCCCCATCCCGGGCGGCCATCATCATCGCAGTCATCACAAGAGGAATCACACGGACGATCACGAACGTAAGTCTCTCGTCGCTTTATTTCTAAATAAATAAATAATAATAATAATAATAATAATGTAATTTAACGGGCACAAAGTGTAGTAGAAAGAAAGGAATAGAAAGAAACGAAATATTCGAGAAGCGACCAAAGGGTATGGCAACAGCTGTGAAGTTGATTTTAATGTCAGCCTATATAAATATATATATATAAATATGTAGAGCAATAATTCTTCGTAATAAAATTATTGTGATTTTAAATGACACTAATATTTATAACTATTATATTTTCATTTTCTCATCATGTATTTCACAAGAAACGTCAAACGGAAGAAATTTACTTAATTTTATCATTATTCATGAATTTGTTTTCTTCCTTTTTTTTTTTTTTTATTAAGTACACATTTAGAATTTAAAGACGAATCAAAATTCTCTTGATTTTTCGCTCAACGTCGCCGCGAGCGACTTCACGCGAAATAATGCGTGGAGTTGGGAATCGGCGGCGATCGCTTCTCGATATTCCAGCGCGAGAATTGCCGCACAATCAGCGCGAGTAATAAGGCGCACAATGCGTGATCATAAATTTTTCCACTAAGATGATCTTTCTTGCGTCGGCGGCGGCCAGTTGAAAGCATCGCGACGTCACTAGCGACCGCGCGGGTCATGGAAAATTCCATTTGTTTTAATGCGCCGTGCTAATTCATATTTTTCCGTGCAAACTGCCCATTGTAACGTGACGACTTTCTCCGTTGGCGGAGGTTGAGTTTCGCGCACGATGAAAACCGAGGGGAAAAAAGGGGATACGTGAGGTCTCTTTCGTGCATTCGACTACCACTCGACTGAGGTGGTACGATAATTGGCGTTGTGTTTTGCGACGAACGACGGCAAATCGTTTTATATCGCATTACGAACGTATCGGGACACTTTCACTTTTACAAAGCGCACAATCGGACGAGCTTTTACGAACAAGTTCACGGTCGACCGTTCTCCAAATATCTTTTAATTAAAACTTAATTTAGGAAATTTATATCGTTCAATATTTATATTTATGTTATTCAATATATATATTTATGTTATTAATTTATCAATTAATAATGCGAAAAAATAAACATTAAAGCGAGAGAGCGGCCTTCCAATACACGTGTAATTCACTTCGTTGTTCGAATTTCACCAATTGAAAACATATAATAATGTATTTTTTTAACGCATTACGATTAACCTAATGTTAACTATAAATTCGCGCCCGCAATTTCACTTGGCAAAGCCAGTTGGAGGTAGAGAGAAGAATAAATCGCGTACATTTTTTCGAAGGAAAATAGAAATTTGGAGAAATAATATTGTCTTACTCTCTCGCGCGGAACGATTCCGTGATAATGAAAATACAATTTAAACGCTGGAAGCACGCGTCGAACATCCTCCGCTGCTCTGTTCGTGGACATGGACGCGTGATTCGATCGAGAGAATCCCGACTCGTTTCACCGATGGAGGGGGAGGGGAATTGTTATTTCTATCCGAGTTTTCACAATGAACTTGAAACTTTTTACTTCACGTGTCCGAAAATTGATTGATTGCCCGTTATGCAGGAGGGATGAATTCAATACGATAAATATTTTCGATGGGATTTTCCGTGTCTATTTACACATTGTGGACGTAGGAAGAAAAATACGGAGGAAGAGATAAAGGAGAAAGAGAGAGAGAGAGAGAGAGAGAGAGAGAGAGAGAGAGTATTCATGCGGTATTATACACCTCAATAGAATTCCGAAAATCCATGGCAATACCACGGCCGAGAATATTAATTACACCGCGGTCGGATAAATCTTCACCGGGTCCGAAATAATTTTTCCGCCCGGCCGAAAAAAGGCACGTCCGTTTCAATATCGAATAGTGATTACCGGCGGCAATAAAAATATCCCTCGGCCGATGCTCGGTGCGTCCCGAAATTAAATTCATTAGTTTCCGCGCAACAAATGTATTTCCGCGTATTGCGACTTTATTATTCGCCAAATAAATAAATTTGCCGCACTTGAAATCGCGCTTCCCGGCGAAGCCTGCCTTTTTCACATTTTTTTTCTACCTTCATGTATAATGCATGCAAATATTTTATTTATTTCTTCGCGCGGCTTCGTTTATTTATTCGTTCATGCGTAACCGTGCGGGCGTATACCTTATTTATCAGCAAAAATTAAAATCACGCGCGTTGCAACACCTCGTCGAAAAGAGCCGCGCGAGATAAAGGGGTTCATTAAATTATATAGAAAACAAGATAACGGGTAACAATTGCACGAAATTCGCATTCACCTCTGTTCTAATTAAGATAACGAAATGAATGAACGAAACAAATATCAGCGGGTGAGAGGTACGATTTTCTGAAAAAAAAACTTACGAATCCTGCAAGTTTAAAAAACGATGTATCAAGAAGCGAAGATATATGATGTCTGCAATTAGCGATGCGTAATAAGTCGAGAAAAATGATGGAACGAAAAAATAGTAAAAATTAATTTCGAAAGTCTCTCTCTCTCTCTCTCTCTCTCTCTCTCACTCACTCACTCACTCTTCTTCCTCGTTCCGTCCGACGATCGCGATTTTCCGACGGCGCGGTGAAAGAGCGGAGGATCGATCGCATCTCCGCGTAATATCTCGCAAAGATATCACCTCAACGAGTAAGATTTATCGCGGCGAAAGTTTAATTTAATTTCGACTCTCTCTCTCTCTCTCTCTCTCTCGCCGGTTGCTTTCATTTCCTGCCTCTCCTCGTATCTCTACTGCGCGTCCGCATATTATTTCTCCGAGCCGCCGGATTTCGAACTTTAATCCGCCCATCCGTGCCCAAGACTCGCCCAAGTTTTCGTCGTATTCGATATTACACGACGGTTTTACATCGATCGCCGTTTCCCGGATTCGAGGGAAGCGCGTCTGGTGAGAGAGCAGGTGCGCGCCAACTCGCCCGATCCTCTCGCTCGTCGTTGATTAAGAGAAGCAGATTCCGCCAAGAGCCTAATTTCGTCTTCCCGCGAATCTTAAGGTTCTCTTAATTTTTCGTACGATTACCTGGTAATAGATTATGCGCGATATATCTCGCATGTGAGAATTAAAATTTCGTACAGTGGATCCCTCGTGCGCAACGAAGATACCAAATATTCAATTATGTGGAAGACTTCAAGTATGGATTTATAAACGCGAAAACTACAAAAAATGTCGAGAAAGAATGCGGCCAAAATGTTCCTCTAAATCCATTCAGTGAAATAGATAGTTAAAATGGATATCAAATTAAAGATAAAACCACTTAGACTTGGGAACTTTTGGAATCCTGTATATCTGGAACGAAAAACCGGATCAATTTCTAACTTATATATTTGTTTTCTGCTCATCGAGATCTTTAACTTGACCTATTTCAACCATCCATTTCACTGAATGGATTCAGAGACCTTAATCCGTACATAATTGGCCACACTTTTTGACCAAACTTTTATTTTGCGTCTCTGCTTACTTTGGATATCGAAAATTTACTTTTTGTGCACTTTCCGTTAGCCGTTCTTCCGTTAAATATTCAGGGAAAGGACACGTTGTGATTGTAGATCCGACACTTAAAATTTCTTGAAAGCAAACAATTTCATACATGATTTAAGGGCTGGTGTGTGTTATTTGAATGAAACGCGGATTACACGGAAATCTCTGCGGGAAAATTTTCGGCCAAAATACACGCGCGAAACTTCGTACTTTATGCGGCGGGAACTTTTGGCACTCCCTATTCCCATGTCTAAACATACGCCGACATCTTCGTGTAACGATGCATCGTATATATTCCACGTGTCGTAATCGTATACGTGAACACCTGTCATGACAAGAGCACATGCGGCGCAAGATGCGGGGAAGATTAGCGTTTGTTTCACGTTTCGTACGTCGATTTTTCACCAAGATATAAACGTTCAAAGTTTACGGAGGCTACACGACGCCTCTGTTCGTTCAGAAAGACCGGTCGTCAACGCGCGTGCGGTTACCTTGTTCGCGCTGCGGGCTTCTCTCCTTTCGAAAACGACAGCGCGCCAGACGAAAAAAAACGACATTATCGCCTGTTTCAGCTCCTCTTTAGCGATCCGGTCGCTTGTTAATAAGGTGAACGTTCCAATTAGTGACAAAATAATCTTATCGTGAAAATAAGTTAATAAATTATTATAATAATTCACGTGTTAAGTACATAACGTTTATGTCGAAAGTATTAATATTTGGGATTCTAACTGTAATAGATTTTTTTTTATTATTATGAAATTAATTTATAATATGTTCTCAAAAGTGACGGAAGTATCATTTAGCGATATGTAACTTGGATTTTGTCCCAATTTGTGACACGTGTATATTTATAGTATTGACAGATGACGAACGTACGGACAGTTTTATTACTGACAGGCAGAAATCATTATTTAAATGTCACAAATTGGCACAGAAGCATGAATATTATCGATTAGTTTAGCAATATTATTATAATTTAGAATAAAACTTAGAATAAAATGAAGATAAAAAGAAAATCGGAGATACAATTTAAAACATTTTTAAATCTACTCTCTTTAAATAGAAATTAAATTTTTTAATCTAACTTAATAAAAATTGATCGTACGCGCACAACTTTTTGTTGGACTGAAAATAAATCTACAATTAAAAAGGCGACCTCCACTTGGTTTTGGTCAAATCAGAGAAGAAATAAATTGCGTTATATTAGGAGCTGGCACAGGTTTATTGGATCGATGATTTTATTAATAGCTGAGCTTTGTGTCCAGTTCAACCGTAGCAAAATAGTTAACAAAAGAAATGTGACTCAAATTCTCATGACCTTGTACAAATAAATAACATGATCTAACAAATAATACTAAATAATAAATCTAATAAGTAGTATAAACTTTCGCCTGTTATAATATATACATATAACAATAAATTATAATATAACTATAATATAATTATAGTGTAAAAAGGAATCGGTCTTAAATAATATGAAAAAGACCGTTTTCAGTTATTTGCTAATAATAGCCG